TGCCCGGCTCGGCCCCCCCGGGCGGCTGGGGGGGTCGCTCTCCCCCCGTGCCCCCTGCACTGCTGCTCCTGCGTCCAGACGCGAGACACCCCATTGCCTCAGGACTCGTTTAATGGTGTGACGGAGACTGCGGAGGGGGGACGGGACCGTGCCACCGGCTCAGGGTGGCGGGAGGGTCCCTGGCGTCAATTCTTCTGGGGCTGCTGCTCCTGTGTCCAGACGCGAGACACCCCATTGCCTCAGGACTCGTTTAATGGTGTGACGGAGACTGCGGAGGGGGGACGGGACCGTGCCACCGGCTCAGGGTGGCGGGAGGGTCCCTGGCGTCAATTCTTCTGGGGCAGCATCCCCCCGGCATCCTTCTCCCCCGGTGATATCTTGGTGTCTGGGGGGATGGCGGCGCTGACGAGGACCAGGGAGTTCTGCTCAGCTTGGGGGTCACTCTCCTCCGGGTGGTGGAAAGCCACGAGGAGCTGGTACAGGGCCGAGCCCACAGTGGCCCCCAGCAGCGGTGCCACCACCGGCACCCACCACCACCCATTGCCCCTGCTGGGGACAGGACATGGTGGGCAGGGGGTCACCCCTGCCACCCCCCACCTCGCCCCCTTCCCTCTACCCACCTGAAGACCTCCGCGCCCCAACCCGCCACGTAGGTGAAGAGCCGGGGCCCAAAATCCCGCGCGGGGTTCAGGGGGCAGCTGCAGTTGGAGCCCATGGAGATCTCGATGCAGAACACCAGCAGGGCCATGGCCACCGGCTCGAGGCCCTTGGGGACACTCTTGTTGCGGGTGTCCAGCATGGCCAGGATGCCCATGATCAGCAGCGCTGTGCCTATCACCTGTGGGGCCGGCACGACAGCTCAGCACCGTGGGGTCCGGCACCACCGGAGGGGTCTGGGGGGAGCCGACACCGGCACCCACCTGGTCCAAGAAGCCGTTGGAGAGGGAGAGGTAGTCAGCGGGGTAGGTGGCAAAGATGGAGGCGGTTTCCCGGGGGCCGGAGGTGGTGGGGGTCCCATTGCTGTAGTGCCAGATGGCATCTGCGGAGCAGAGGCAGAGCCTGTCCATGAGCCCGGCCACTCCGGCACAAGCCATGGTGTTCCCCCGCCAGGGGCCCGCCCGCCTCCCCGTACCGTAGTAGAGGACGTAGACAGCTCCGGCGGAGATAAAAGCTCCCAAGATCTGCACGGCCATGAAGATGGGAAACTTCCACCAGGGAAACTGCTCCAGCAGGCACATGGTAAAGGAGAACGCCGGGTTCAGGTGGGCCCCTGCAACGGAGTTGGGAGAGGGGCTGGGAGCGGAGGGTCCTTGGGGGATCTGGAGCCAGGGGATGGCGGGAGCTGGGACCCCCTCCCCAGCCTCACCAGAGACTCCTCCTGCCGTGTGGATGGCCACCATGATGGCCAGGGCGCCTGCCAGGTAGGCGGTGACGATGTCCCCCTTTGCCCCGGAGCTGGTGACCATCTGTGCCGAGCCGCTCAGGGTGATCAGCTGGAGAACAGGGACATAGCTCCACCGTGGCGCCCCCGGCCCCTCGCCTAGCCCCCCCCCTCCCTG